GAGTTTCAGAAACCTCTTTGTGCCAAAGCACTGTTAAAATCTGACTTTGTGTCTTCAGAAATGTATCTAAAAAAATACATACTATAATTGCAGAGGGTCGATATTGAAAAAAAAAAAAAAGAGAGATCGCTTTTTTGTCTGTTTGTCTTTGCCTTTAATTTCTCAGCTTCAATATGTTCTTATGACGCCGTCTGTAATGTGACGGTCCACTTTCTAAACTGTGTCAGATGTCTGGGTCATGTATAGTCTTCCTGCATCAGCGTCTGCTCTGCTTTCAACCCTACGCCCTATGACACGTCATTTCCTCCCTGCAATCTAGACCATGCTGAATTGATTTACACCGACGTCACAGGTCACAACCAGACATTTCACTCATTCACCTACTTATTTCTACAAGAAGTAGTTAAATCATTTTAAACCTTCATATACCCTTTTTTTTATAACTCAGGTTTATTTTTTCAAAACATAGTTTGACATGTGAGGAAAGCAGAGGTAATAGGTCACAATCTGTTCAATCTGTTTAGATGTATAGTTCCAATAATCCCTCAAAGCACAACTAAACGCTAAAGTGAACAGGATTTTACTGTAAATTATTGGTAGAAATTTGATTGGATTCCCCAGCCTAGGGATAAAAAAAAAAAGAAGAAGCTGTTTTGAATCGAGAAACGTTTAAAATTCCGCCAAGACTTAAAGACAATAAAAACAGTCTGTGGACGGCATGCATGACAATGGATGGATTTGGAGCAATTCTTCAGTATTTAGCTTTAGCCAAGTGCATCAATCTGCTTGGACTGCAGATGAAGTTTGTTTGCATGTAAAATGAATCAATCTTGTCCTAATCTATTTTGTGAAATGTGAATAATAAAACTCAGAGGTGCAGTTGAGAGATTTGCCTCATGTATAATAAGAAATCACACAGACTATACCGGTGAGACTGAAAGCAGGATAATCATCTGACTGAACGCAAAGCCAGGCAAAGCAGGAAACAGCACAAACTGTTGCTGCAGAACTGTTGCATGACACTGACCCCCCCCCCCCCACCCCCCTTCCAAATGGAAACGCTGTCATGGATTTAACACCAACTAAATCCTTCCCTTCACGGCAGCTGATCACACTGATGGCTGACAACATCTGTCCATCAAATATCAGGGAATAATGACAAATGGTAACGGGTCAGGGACACAGGGCGGGGCTGAGGGACGGAGGAGACAGGACAGGACGGAGAGGCGAGACATGCTGTTAGTCCATTACAGGAATGACTACAAGACAAATACCCAAGTAGTAATAGGGACAAGGCTTTGTAACCCCAAATGTTCTAACTATCCAATGTCTGTTTTTGGCTTTGGGTCAAGTGGGGTAATGACAAAAAAGTAGAATTCTAAAAAAGGTTTTGTTGTTACGCTTACATCAAACCAACAGCTCAACACTAGTTCCACTTTGGCTTCATGAAAAAAAAAAAAGTATAACACTACAACATTTCAATTTACGGCAGTTGTATTGTTAGGGTTTGTGTTGTGGCATTTTTTTAACCTCTTGATTGAATATATTATAAATAAACCGATTGGTCAGTATTTAAAGGCTCTGAAGAACAGACCATTGTTAAGGACCAGCCTAAATCACAGACTCTGGAGGACTAACTGTAACCATATGAATCTGAGCAATAAGTCAAGGAAATCTACAACAGTTCATCTTCTGTTTGAGGAAAACAAAGGGGGAGGACAACAGAAAGTACAAAGGTTACTAGACTAGTGGATGGGGAAGAACATGTCAAAAAGATTGTTTTTAGTTCTGAGGCCCAAGACCTCAATCAGGTGCTGAGGACGGGGTTGCCTTTGAAACTGAATAATAGTTGCACTTTTTTAAAAGGTTGTTATGAGTCTTTTAGTTTTTGAGATCACTGCGCATCATAGTCGTAACCACAAGAATAATTAAAGGAGAAGTGCGAGTACACGTGAGCCAACGACTGTGGGAATGAGAGTTGCCAAAACGAGATTTTACAAAGGATCCGGTCATGCTGTTATTAATAGCCATATTATTTTAAACTTTGCTATCAATGTTCTTTCTCCCCACAGCCTGAGCTGCCTACATCATCGTGTAGACACTTCACCTGTTGGAACATAGTCCTCTTTTATAATGTAAGAAAGGGGGAGCAGGGTTTGGTCCTGTGGCTTTAGCTGAATCCAACATTTTCAAAGTGCAGCCAAAAGTAAGTTCTGCGTACTCAATGGCACTAGTTTTTGAAAATGATAAATAAGTCACTGCAACACGAGCAACAGAACCAGATTGATTTGTCTCTATTTGTTAGGCATTGCATTGTATTTGATTGCAGCTGGGATTTTAAGAGGATTTCAACAATATAACCAAAGTGGTTCAAAAATAAACTGCCTAACCTAGTTTGAAGGAAAATGGATCATCGTCTTAGAAGTCAGACTTGTCGGAGCATTTGCTTGATTGACAGCCTTATAAAGCTCATCACGTTGTTTGCGAGACATGTTTGTTGTCGCATCTCTTCCCTCAATCCATCCAGTGTCTCGTGAGGTTCGCTGGAAAATGCACCTTGTTGATATTTCAATAGTATCAAGGTAATGTGTAGATGCGTATGCATTTTTTAGGGCTCACTTAGGTGTGGAAGATTTCCTCTTCCTCCTCCCTCCTCCTTCCTCCTCCTCCTCCTCCCTCCATGTCCATCCTCCTCCTTCCTCTTCCTCCTCCTCACTCCTTGTCCTTCGTCCCTCTCCTCCTCCTCTTCCTCCTCCCTCCTCCTTCCTCCTCCTCCTCCTCCCTCCATGTCCATCCTCCTCCTTCCTCTTCCTCCTCCCTCCTCCTCTGACTTTGTTTTGTATAAAGTTGTAACTGTTATTTACAGTGAAGAGAGAGAGAAATTAGTGAAGCTTTGATAAGCTGGTGACAGATCTACTGACCAATCACTGCTCTCTGTTCAATTCACGTTGGAGTTAAAATCATTTTCAGTCCCATGGATGTGTTATAGAATGGATAGAGCATTGGAGGTGAGCGCCGATCATTCCTGTAAAAGCTGCTCAGTGGTGCATGAAGCAACAAGGGTCAGACTTCAGTGTGTAAAAGTACCTGGACCTGCTCATAGCTCATGCGCACTTGGAGTCCTGGTCCTGTGGCTCTGATCTGCCCTCATTATGTTGACAGAAATATCTCTGAATTCAACTTTAATGGCAAGTTACAACTGTTAGGATGTAATGGTTTTAAAAAGGGTTAAGGGCTATGTATGTGTCTTTTTATTTTATTTTCATCAATGTAAGCTTATTGGAAAAAGTCATTTTGGGACCAATGATGCTGCAATACCAGGTTCTGCCACTATGCAAACTTGATTTAAACACTCAGCACTCTTCTTCTTGGTCAGTACTGACTTGTAATATAATATGCCACATACAACTTTATCGTCTTCATCTAATGACCCATCTTTTTCTCCAGCCTTTAAATCGTCACCATGAGCAGGCATGACCACACGTCTAGCACTATTTTTAATCTTTAATTTACTTGTACCCATTTACTGTCGTCAGTGTCTACATTCAATCATTGCTGTGTTTCTGTTTGATTGAACTCTGTTCTCTCTGCTGAACATGCTGGTCCACATTGTATTCTATTTTAAATATGGTCACAAATACATTCACCAACATGGCTGGAAAAAATCTTCTGAGAAGTGTCAGTAGCCCCGCCCTCCCTCCCTCCCTGCCTGCCCTAGATTTTTTCCAAGCTAATGAAGTTCGCATCCGTTCAGCATTCTCTATTTTTTCACTCATCCATCCAGCCGGTCATAATCTCTCCTGATCCAGCATTTCTTTTTTTTTTTTGTTACAAACGTTACAAATCCAGCATAAAGATAAGGGCTTCATTTTCTCCCCTTATATTTTTGGATCATGTGTTGTAAAAACACTCAGCGGTTTGTTTTGTGAGTATACGTGATACCTCACTTCACTGTGGTTTTAGAGTCTTCTCAGTGAATGCTGCGTCATTACTCTCATGATAGATACAAGTTAAAAACATAACGTTTCTACCAACAGAAGGAATTCCTTAAAAACTGCTGGTCTTAATAAGAGTTCTATTAAGTCAGACGATCGAAGAACAGACAAACGGACGATTTTGCTTTTAGTAAGGGGTTTTTGGTGAAACATAAACGGCTCATCCTCCCTGGTGTTAAAATGTGATCGGCAGCTTGGTAAATCTGCTAAATCACGTATACAGGTGGGATATTTGGGTTGAATAAGTTGTTAGGGGAAATACCAGGTTTTATTAATGTAAGCTGCAGCTTGGAGGTATTGACTACTGATTGTTTATATTATTAATCCCACAAATAAGAACAAACAAAAAACAAAAACAATGCATCATTTTCTTTGCTCTAAACTATCAATTTTTTTGCCTTTCCTTTAGTTGTAAAATTGTCAATTTAATCTCGTGGCTGCTTGGACAAAGGAAACTTTTTTTTTTTAGAAACATTGCCTTGTTAGTAAAGTTAGTAAAGAAAGAGAAAATTAATTCATGATAGATAATCTATAAACTGAGATCAAAGGGATAATTTGGTATTTTTTAAGTTGGGTTGTATAAGTTACTTATCAGTAGGTGTATTAGTCACAGGACAGGCCAGTCAGCGTGGCCCCTTTAAGGAGAGACCGGCCAAAGTGCAGGCTGAAGCTACAGCAGGCTATAAGGCTATGCAGACAGGGACGTTTGCTGCACGTCATTTACCTCGACGTTTTGTATTTGGTCGTGAATTACATGAGAAAATTTGAAGTCATTGCTTCAGAATGGCAAATGTTTTTATGATTCATCTCTTAAAGTCAGACCACTTCCTGCAGCTTTACCTGCACATTTTAGTCTGTGTTAAGAACATCCCAATCAGAACAATAGTTGATCAAACCTAGTTGTATAACCTAGATGCACATTTAGCTCCACTCTAAATCAAATCTCTGAGGCGGCAATGTGGTGCCTTACTCGCGGCAGAAACAAGAATCAAATCAGAGTCCGTTAAAAACATGGAATAATATCAGAGAGTTTAAGCACATAATGCATCAAGTGATCAAATATGGAAAGCAACTCTGAAATGAACTCTTAATAAATAAATTCAATATATTTACACACATAACAAATTAAATACATTTTAAATGCAAATAATGTATGTCACATTCGGCTTAAATAAATACTATAACCCTCTGTTCAGAGGTCAGACAATAAACAAAGACATTCAGTTAAAGGTGAATATGTGTCTGAGACTGCACTGTATTTCAAGCAGCATGTTGATAATGCATATTACCAACATAGACTCAACAAACAGCAACAAAAAAAAAAATTCTGAAAATTAAATTGCAAAGCAACTTCCACTTGGTGCAACTTAGCTTCACTGTCTGAAGACAAAGAAATACACTAAATAAATATAACAGCAGTTAATTTGCACAGAGAACACTGTGACCTGGTTTAAGCTTGATTTTTTTTTTTTTTTTTTTTTTAACTATGATCTGTCACTGCCGTGTCCTTGCGTCACATTTCTTAGAAATCGACTGTCGGTCAAAGATTGTGGGGCAGGATATGTTTTCTTTCCTCTTTGGATTTGTTGTAAAGGATGTGAGCAGGATGTGCAGTCGTAATGTAATTCAGCATCCTAATTATAACAAAAGAAATGTGCATGAAAATATAAGATCTAATAAATAAATGAATCTAATCTTCCTTGAAGGTGTTACATTGAGCAACTTGCAATCGTACGGAGAAATGTTTTTAAAGAGCACGTTTCTGTTTTGTTTGTCGCTTCTTTCTACGCGTAAACATGTGCACATTCAGGCTGACAGTCTGTAGCAGTTTTTCAAGGGGGAAGAAGCAAATCATGTACAAAAGCTTTGAAACAACAACCTCTTCTCATTTCTCAGTTTTTACATCCTCGTTTCCTTTCCTCCCCTCCTCTCCTAATGTGTAGAAGATATATAAGGAGTGAGGAGGGGAGGCAAACTGCATTAGAATAAACGAGGACATCAGTGCGTCAGATTGTCATCTTAAGGCGGTGGTAATGAAGTATGCTTTACGGCACAGCTATATCTTTGGCCCCATGTGTTGTTTCAGCCTGTTGTTTGTTCTGATGTATTTTATCATCTATGTAAGGACAGCACAAAAGTATCAACTTATTATTATGAGTATGCAGATTATTTGTATACGCTTTTACCCATGATGCCACTGTAAAGACTTTCCCTAAGGACACACCTGTGCATCTCTGCTCACAGCTACTGAAGCGAGCGTCTTGATACAACTTAGGAATCAGGTCATCCTTTGAGATGAGGCTTAATCAGTTACAAGGATAACTGAAGAGAGAGGAGACAAGGAGGCAGCATAAGGAGAAACGAGAAAAGCCTATTCTGTGTGTGTGTGTGTGTGTGTGTGTGTGTGTGTGTGTGTGTGTGTGTGTGTGTGTGTGTGTGTGTGTGTGTGTGTGTGTGTGTGTGTGTGTGTTCAGTCTTTGGTTGTGTGTTGTTGGGACATGAACAACTTCAACTGAAGAAACACATTCAGAAATGGCACATTTACGCTCATCTGCCAATCAAATCCGTAAACCTGCTGTCACATGATGGTCGTCAAAGTCATCCCTTTTGAAAACTCCTCAATGTGCCCCAGGTCCGTTAAACTCCAGCGATCAAACACTAAATCGGTCTACTGCATAGCGGCCTGTAACCAGTGACATCATCCTTTTCATCTGTTTTTCATCCTTCACCCAAAAACTGACTGCACTCCAAACAACTCCATTTGTTTGCTGCAACGTCACAGAATGATGTCATAGAGTCTGCCAACACGGCCCAGCCACTCACGCAGCGCCTGGCGGACTCGGGCATCGGTCACGTGGCAGGTGAGCTGGCTGAGGCAGGGGTACAGCGCCGGTTGGAGCGCCATGAAAGAGACGTCTGACAGGAGGAGGACTTGATTCAGGAGGGTCAAGACCATGTTGGTCCACGCCTGAGAGGAAAGAAAAGCATTTAAGAGTTTGTGTGAGGGTTTCATTCATTTTCATTTAAATATAACTCATTATTTTCTATATAATATAATATTGAGTCCTGAAGGGTATGTGAAAAAAGAAAAACTAGTGACCAGTTTTTGAAGTCTTAACTACATTTTGTTTTTGACCTCAAAAAAATTAAAATTGGACAAAAGCTTTATTTGGTGGAAAAAAAGGCCTGTATATGTTTTTTTAGGAACGTACTACAAAAAGTTGGGTTGAATTGAAAGGTCTGTTTTGGTATAAATGGCAGTTCAATCATTAGATAATTTAATTCACGTATACACCGGCCTGCTTTTCACAGTTGCCTTTCATTAGGAGAACCAAAGCATGTGATTGGTTGGTAAATTGCTCAACAGAGACCGGCCACTTTTTCGGTGGCTCTTGTTGCAGAAGTTAATTTCCCCATTCAAAGCCTCAATTGACATTTCACAAAATTTTTAGATCAAGCGATTGACGCCTGGAACCAAGACAACCAGCTACCCAAATATCTGATCAGACATCGGCGCAAAAACAACATTGAAAAACTGGGAAAAAGGTAAAGACACAAGACCCTGTACATATTTTTTTCTGGAGTAAAGGAACTACCAAACCCACAACCCATTGCCAATGATACTGCTTCTTCCTAAATGTAACTTTTGATAGCATATCTTAGTATTAGTACATTTCGTATTAGCTAACAAAATACCTAGCAAAACTATCACATAGGGCACTGAGAGGTGGGAAACATTGCCATGGTAACAGCGAGCTCCACCAATCAGAGACGCCGCTTTGACACTTTATGATCGCGGGTAAGATAGTTATTTTTCCCGACATCGCGGATAAAAAAAACAACATGTTTTGCTTCAAACGACTTTGATACCATATAATCTTGTGTCTTTTACCATCATTTAAAACATATGTTCATTTGACTTCCCACACACTATACCTGTATCTGAGCCTCGGAGTCTCTCAGCGAGATGCTGTGGGAGCTGATTGTGGATCCTGATCTGGGTCTCTTCTCCTGCCTCAGGACTTCAGGTCCTGCGCTAACCGAGTGCCTCAAAGGGGGACACTGCTGGTCTACCAGATGCTGAGGCCTCTGTGGGGGCCTATGCGGCTCCATGGGGCCCCTCCTCTCCCCGACCCCTCCTCCTACGGCGGCAGCTCGGCCTTGCTCCTTCATGAACAGGTTAACGTGACTCTGCTGCGGCTGCTGCTGCGGCTGCTGCTGCTTCCTGCGCTTGTACTCCATCATCAGCTTGCTTATAGTTTTGTCTGTGGCGATGGTGTACAGTTTGTTCCCCGCATTTTCCCACCATTCCTTTCTCCTGCTCGGTCCAGAGCAGCCAAGAGCTCCTCCTACAGAGCATCCTGTGATGCCTGAATCTCTCCTCTCACCTCCACTCCTGAAGTGGTGGGGCAGACTGCCTGTGCAACTGTGAAGAGAGAGAATGGCGGCTTTAATTGGATGACTTACTGAACAAACTCCATTGGCCACCTCATCGGCTGAGGCGTCAGCAACTGCAGTTCAACGAATGGTCACTTGAGGCCGGTTCCCAAAGCCAGTTTACCCTCCATAACGCAGTAGTGAAATGCTCAATTGATCACACGTTTCTAACCTACAACAGAAAACAGTTTGAGTCTAGACGCCTGCTTGTTGTCAAATTAGTAAATTCTGTTACTGAGCATCCCTTCTTTGTGGTCATGATTCCTTTCGGATAAATTCTCACCATATTTCTCATCTCAACTTTATTAACACAGTACTTCTCATCCATACAAGCATGCAACCAACAACAGATGGGAAATAAGGACAGAAATGGAAAGTAACAGACAAAACCATAAAAGACTAAAACAAGAAGGAATAAAATCGAGATGTGAATAATTAAAAACTAGTTAATTAAAAACTATAACATGTAAAAATATGTTGAACCAAGTAAAAAGGATGCTAGCCTTAAACTTGAAAACTTTTCAAAAAGAAAAGTCATAAACAAATTTATTATGTGGGAGTGAATTCATGAGAGTTTTGCTGGCGTTTGGGCGTGCTCACATGATCGCTGTCTTTTGGTGTAAGGGGGTCATAAAACAATCCAAGCTGTTATAAAGCTCTGAATTTCTAGTGGGGCGATAAGATCAAATCAAATATGTTAAATATTATAGCACGTCTTTAGTCTTAAGTCTTTTGTCTGCCAATGGTGCTCAATACTGTGACCATTGTCTACAACCAGTAGGAGTAGTCTCCCCAGCACCAAACAGGAAACTGCAAACTAGAAAACATGGCCGGAGTCAAAGGAACGGGCAGTTCTCCTGGACTGTGGAAAAGGAGGAGAAACTGGTGGAGTTGAAGAATTCCTCTTTGACGTATCCTCCCCTTTGAACCAAAATAGAGTTGAGAAGTAAAAAAAAAGGTTGACACAAATTGCTGCTGCCTTATAGCTAGCAGTGCTTTTAATTGTATTTAAATACCATCCATAAGCTCTCTTCTTCTAATATATTTTTTATGATGGCACCGATTGTCAAGTACAGCTCTCTGTCTCATTTGAGAGCTGAAGCTGCTGCTTACACCAGATCAGGATTCCTTTATATGTTTTTTTGTGTTTTCTTGGTGATATTTCTTTGAATAAATCATATAGTGAGCATTTGGAGCAGTTTCAAATAGACCCAACGACCACTTTTAAGGGAATCAGAAGTGATGCAAGCCAACTTTCGAAACCTAGAAACAGCAAGCGCCAGTGAGAAGCGCTCGGACACTAAGTTTGTTGGCAAAAAAATCTGTTACTGGGATATTATCTACTGTATCTATGACCAAGTCTAAGGAGCCTTGTAAAGCTTTAAATATATACTGTAGCTTGTAACCTACTTTGTAAAATTAACCAGTAGCTCCTGTATGTTTTGCTATAAATACAATATCCACACAGACCAAATATGTTAGGTCATTAGGCCATTTAAATCGAAGCCATGACTTTCAGTGGTAGACTCAAGAGGTCTAAAATCACACCTGAATCCGGGGCTGGGTGTGGGCGTGTCTCCTGGTGATGCCGAACTCATGTCTGCTGTCTGACATCTGTACCCGCCTTCCTCTGACGGCGTCCCCCTTGCTGAAAGCCCGCTCACCGATGTTGGGGTTGAAGTCTCGGACTGAAAGAGAGGCAGGAAGAAGACGTGATCGCCTCCTCCCCCGACTCCTCCTCTCAGCAGCGCCGTCTCCTCCAGTGTGCTCTCCAGGTCCCGGTGCATTTGGATGTAGCTGTTGCACAGATCCATGCACAGCTTGTAGAGGCGTTTGACCAGCCAGGCCCAGTCTGCGCTTCCCAGAGGCTGCACGCTGAGAGACGGAATGGGAGCTCGCCAGTGATGACGTTTATCACGGCCACGAGGGGGGCTGACCTGTAGGGAAGGACCCGGATCAAAGGATATGATTTGATATCTAGTATTACAACATTTATCATCACATTGTTCATTGTAATCCTTCCTGCACAGTTCTTCCCATGATTGTATTTAAAATAAAGAGAGAGAGAGAGAGAGAGAGAGAGAGAGAGAGAGAGAGAGTGTGTGTGTGTGTCTAAATGTATCACCTGTGCTGTTTCTTCAAAGATGTCTTCATCCTCTGAGGAGGCAGAGCCAGGATGAGAGGAGTCAGAACTCCCCTCTTCTTCCTCATACAGGATCCTCTTCACCTGAACACAAACGACATTTTAAATGTAAAGCACAATTTAATTCCTCCTGATTTTTTTTAAGTAGTTGCATCTTTGAGTGTACTACAGTAAATGTTTCTACATGATTATCACAACAAATCAAGGATGTATCCAGATTATTCACATGGCTTTAGTTGGTGGTTGTTAAATGGTTGCTTTGGTTTGCAGATTACTCAGGAGGAGTGCCTTTTGTTTTACATGTGTTCCTGACATAAAAAATACTTGCTCTGAACGTCCATTGCAACCCTCCAAAAAATGGAAGTAGATTGATAAAATGACAACAACAATTAAACAAACAAACAAAAACAGAATAACTTGAGCAAAAACAAAGTAAACTACATCTTAGCTCGGGAAAACAAAAACTTAACAAGAAGCTGCGTCAATCCTTTTCCATTTTGAGTTCACATGCATGTTTGAGAAATGATAGCCTGATAAAGCGTGTATAGATAACGTGCACATATCTTACAGTTGCCTTTTTTACTAATTGAATTAATATTAAAGATACAGGAACTATTACTCGATGTGGCTCTGGACAGTTGATGAATATTGACACAATACTCTCTCTCTTCTTCTGGTCCTGGTTTATTCTCAAACGCCTAACTCCCAAAGATCCCACTTGCTTCACCCTCTAACCTAAAAATGTGTAAGTTGTCGCAAAACAAATAGCATGACTTTGGTTTTTTCAGAGTTTTTTATTTTTTTATGAATACTGTCCAGCTCCAGCTGGAAAGTGAAATAACTTATGTACAGTTTATGTTGTTGTTTGTTTTTTGTTCGTCATAGTTATTACTTATCAAATTACATACAAATTACATACAAATATCCCTGACAAGGGACTACAGATGGACATGAGCCTATGGCTACAAACTGGCAATGTTTATGTTGATTAACGTGCATGTTACGTGCGGCCCTTGTTCTCTCCCCCTGTGCATTTCTGGTCTCCCTCCTCCCCCTACCTGTGGCGCACCTGAGATCAATCTGCGATCAGGGAGTAGGAGGGGGATTTAGGGGAGCCAGGTGGGAGAGAACGGGGTTGGCAGACACACACACTTTGGGGCCGTGGCGCGGTGAGGTGATCGTTCCCTTCTCGTTTAATTATTTCCCTGTTGCTTTCTCCCAACCAGGCTTGTTTTGTTTTTATCCAGGCATGTTTAGATTGCTGGGTTTTGTTATTTTAGTTGGGGCTGGAGAGACTATTTTCGATTCCTTCCTTTCTTATAGATAAGTTTTGTGATTAGGTAGTTTAGGGGGAGGTGCCTAGAGCGACGGCCCATTATGTGGCTGGCTCGGCACTTTCCCATCTTTTGTTCTGTGTAGCCAGATTGCTAGTCCTTTTTGTGTCTACTGACGGGGGGCGTAAGATCCTTTAAATAAAGCTCGGGGTTCAAACACTTAACATTGTGTGGCGTCCCTTTTTTACATGTTCTGGTCTCTTACAAATCATTTATGGTTTAACTTAATGTACGTCAAGGAGGCCGCAACAGTGCACTATCCCCACCTATAAATCCATAAATAAAGAAATGTCACTGCTATAGGTGACCCTCGTTGCACATATCCATGAATAAAAAAAATAATATTCATGCAGCAAAACAATGAAGATAAAGACAAAAAACTGCAGAGTTTTTGATGTGTTTTTACCTGCTGAGCGGTCATGCCGTCAGCTTGGCTCAGCGTGGCGCACAGTAATGCCTGGAAGTAAAGGTTAAAGCTCATGGCAGACTGACGGTAAAGGTTCGCCGCTCCACAAACACCCGACACCTTCATCAGCAGGTACTTCAGACCCGGCCGAGTGTCAAAATCCCGAGCTGTCCTGCAGAAGATGGGATAAAGAGCAAGTCAGCCAAATGTACCCTGTAGTATTAATATTATTATGGTTATTACCATGAGATGATCACTTTAGTTGATGTTCTTAAAAACTGCTGCATTACACATCTTTACAACACTCTCATCTCCATATATGTCTAACTTTCTTGTGGTAGTTATTACCTGTAAGAGTCGAGCAGCAGATCCAGGATTATGGCTAAATTAGTCATGGAGATGTAGCGTAGGAACCCCGCTGAGGCTCTGCTGGGGTCGGAGGTCACGGGAGTGACCTTTTCTTGACCTTCAGGTTGCTTGACAAACTCCTCCAGCAGGATGTCGTAGAGGTTCTGGAGCAGGACCTGGTGGGACAGCAGGCTCACCACAATGGTCCTGAATGGGATGCTGCAGAAATCAGAAAACGATTAAAAATTAATATGGACAATAAATAAAGTACAACTAATAATAATAATATTAATAGCTTGGATCTATATAGCGGCTTCCAAGAAAAGTACAGCAAAAAATAAATAAAACACAACAAAGAAAGAAATAATACAAAACAAAATTTGTGAAAATGTCTGTGGAACTATTTCACCCTTTAAACTCCCAAAATGGGGTTAACTATAACTTTCTTGGAAAACAGAAAACAATTAAAAGTCTGACGACATAAACTGTAAAGACTATATAATAATAATAACTATTATTTCAGCACTCTTGGACATATTCATAAACAGGTCCATCTCAATTGAACCAACTAAAGCACTCTAATTATTGAAAAAATACATTTGGGTGAAGATAAAAATTCTGAGAAAAGTGTGGGCATAGATCTCTTACTAACATCATCGGTTAAGCTTTACAAGCTTAAAGGAGCAATATGTAACTCTGACACACCCTATTCAGCAAATGCAAAAATACATTTGGGTATATAACGGTGGTACAGCTTTGTAGATACTTGTATGCAGTGAACAAACAAAAAATAATAGTTGGAACTAAGACTAACGAACTAAAGACTGAAGATAAAAATTCTGAGAAAAGTGTGGGCATAGATCTCTTACTAACATCATCGGTTAAGCTTTACAAGCTTAAAGGAGCAATATGTAACTCTGACACACCCTATTCAGCAAATGCCGAGGCTTTTAAGCTTGGGGAGAATCAATTCTATCTGACCCAGTTCCCTTGCCCGCTTCCATCGCTGCAACACCTGTTGGTTTACAGTTTGACTGGCAAACCGAGGGGCATCCCAAACGGCCATTTCCTTAAAACCGCCTACCTTCTCTGGTCAAAACAAAAACAGACCATTCTGTACCGTAATATTTCCTTCATGTGTGATGACATAGTAAGGTCATTCTATGATTGAATTCAGTAGATATCTTACTTATTGCTCCTTAGTAAACATTGACATGAGTAAGGACATCAATGGACTTGCACACATTGAAACAGGACTTTCATACAATGCTACGAACAGAAAAGATACACAATGCCACAGAGAACAGCCTTACCCAATTTTCCTTTAAATGAAGCAGAAAGAAAAGCAAAGAGAGTTAATCAGAGTTAGAATCAGTGAGTTAATTTGGCTTCATTTGCTTTTTAATTTGTTTTGTGCTAAAACAAGAGATATTGCTTGCCCCTCCCCCTCCCTTATTGAAAGAGTTACACAAGAGGGATTTTTTTTTTTTCATGAATAAACCACAAAAAAGACAAATCTATAATTAAATATTTCTTAGACAACATATTAAACGTACAGTTGACTCCATAAAATTGGTGTGTAATTTTTACAGTCTATGGTGTGAAGTTAGCAAATATGTCAACATGCTACTGTGTGTCCATTCACGTGAAAGTGTTGTCCACCTTTTCTGAGTGTGTCCGTTGGACTGTGCGTCAGGAGGCAGCTCGATAATGAGAACGCAGGACTGAGCATGCTCGAAGCCTTCCTTGTTGTTGGGAGTCTTTGGGGAGCACTGCGTGTCCAACATAAAGACCTGCGACACAAAGACGGCATGTTAAAAAAAAAACAATTCTGGACATGGAGGAACTGGACAAACTATATTTTTAAAAGCGTGGGCCCTATTTTATTTAATTTGTTTTACATATTTTATGATCTGAAAGTCTTAGAAAAAACAGTAGCTTTGATATTTCATCAATAAGTTACTTTATCGTCTTTAGAACCCTCTGCCTTTCCGGGCAAAGTTGTCAATCAAAGTACATCCACCACAGTGCCTCTTTGGAGTCTTTGACTGCAGACTAAAAAGCTTAATTTACTCTCTAACATACGAAGATGTTATCTTTGCAAGGAACTGTGTATTAATAATGGTTAAGACTTAGAATAACAGAGGCAAAAGAAAAGCACTTGAAGATGAATTCTTTACATTCCGCACGTGTTCCCCAAAGACAGACCTGTTGAGCCATCGCCTTGATCCTCCAGTACTCAGCCTCAGCAGAAGGAGAGTGGGTAGGAGCTGCTACCTTAACCTCACAGGCATCTCCAGAGAAACTGTCTGACCCACTATGAAAGCACGCTAGAAGGTTCTACAGAGAGAGAGAGAGAGAGAGAGAGAGAGAGAGAGAGCGACAATATGTATCAAATACAAATGATGGTCACTGAAACAAAAGCTCACAGTTTAAACATTTAAAAACAATGAATATCAATGGTATGAATGATGCAAACCCCATTATAATAAAAGTATTTTTCTAGTACACAGTCAAATAATAAGACACTGTGGAGCAATAACCAGATTGCTTGTACAGCCATAAGCTAAAACATTGCACTTTTCTATCCTGATAAAGTCGGAGTATGGCACAGTTTAATAAAGTCTGTACATTTTATCCCGTGTGACCTGAATGCATGCTTGTAAATAATTCCGCTTTTCTATAAACCCGGTCGAAGGTCACGTGTTAAAGCGTCTGAAAGCATGAGCTACATTTTAAGGATTGACTCCCACATACCATAAGCTTTATATTGAGGGCTGCCAGTGTCCCACCAATACTCTTTATGTGTTCTCTTAAAAGAGTTTTCTTTATACATTCACACCGTGTTACACATAAAGGTATTTCAGAATTTGTCTGCTGGTAACGTTTGTAAAATTCTGGTCATGCAGGACAATTAAGAAATCTTGTTTTCTTTAGACTGCGGTGCTGATGATTGAATGCGATGAAGTCAAGATACAATAACATAATCCTTTATTGATCCCCAGTGGGGAAATGGAAGTGTTGCAGCAGTAAAAATGGGCAAGAAGAAGATCATGCATATGAGTGAAAATAAAACAAGAATAGATAGAAAAAAAGTAAACTGTACACACCCATTAACTGCCAAACTACACAGGACATTCAGACATGTTGTGCAGTAAATTTAAATTTAAGTTATGAGATAAAGTCACAATTATCAGATTAAGTGAAAGGCTTGTGATAATCCGACAAAATTAAGCAAAACAAATAAGCATCTAGTTAGAAGACATGAATAACAGTTTTTTTACTTTGTGTAGTGTGTATGAAACGATTCAGGGAGTCAATGACGGGTGAAAGTGATAGGAGTCCTGGGTATGGCAATGTGACAGGCACTTTAATGTCGGTGTTCATGATGACATCAGACTGTAGGTCCCACCTACAGAAACTATACATATTTAGTGTTTCTCTAACGTTTCTCCAGTTATGAAAAAATACACCCAACATGGCATCCAAAATAATTCATGCTGTTGTCATAGAGCAAACTCGAAAGTTTGAACATAAGCTAAAGGGCTTCGGTTGTTTCTAGTTCAGTTGGATGTCCAATCTTTTCTGGACCAGGACTCCATTCTTAGCACCTAGACTGGTCCAAGCCTTGACCATAAGGGAGAAAACATGTGCATCTCTTATCAAATGCAGGGACCTCCAAACGGATTATAAATATTAAGTATGGAAAACAAATGTATTTTATCTGCATACTAAGTATTGGACATTTTTAATGTATTTCCATCACATGAACTGTCCACAGGGATTAGAAGCCTTTAGAGGAGCTCAGGGACCTGGTCAAAGTTCCAGAGACTTTATTTTATCTAAAGTACGGGGACTTTGGGTTCAGGTCCAGTACTCACAAATTCAGCCACCATTTATTTAAAAAAAAAAAAAAAAAAAAAATTATGGTTAAGGTGCATAAATGGACCAGGAGAAAGACAAATGTCAAAATCCAGGGGGAAATGAAAATGGAACACTTGCATTGCAGCATGACAGCATTACATAGTCCTTGGGTTAAACGTTTGGAGCATTTTGGAGCAATATGTGACCTCCATGACCCCACATCGCATCAGGCCCTAAAATTTTGAAACTCCACCAAAAAGTAGATCAAAAAAACCTAATAAAAATACTTTTTTCTTTATATGTAATAAAATATTCAGGTAAATATTTAACAAAATAAACAGACAGAACGAGGACAAAATGTTCTAAATGTAATAGCAGCAGGCCGTCACATGCCACAGGATAACAGGAGCTTTTCTATAATCGGCCATAAGACCTAAATAAATATGATGTGCCACATAAACAATAATGTCAGCCCTTACATGCACCACTGTCACAAAGACTGTTACATAAACAAAACTGCATTTAAGCTAAATGTTGAGATTTTACATATTAAACTTGATGCAGATGCAGAATTTTAAGCCCTTAAAACTCCTGAGACAGTAGTAGAGATAAACACTGGGGTTTAAATCAAGCTGTAGTAATCGTATTTGGTGATCATGTGTAAGATCAGCTCCTTAAATTGTCCAGTAAGAATAGAAATAGAAAGAAGTTGAGATGCTCTGATAGACTGCAGTCTGATAAAAACACCTTAATGTAGTATTTTTGATTTAGCTAGTCATTTCAATCTGCATCTTCATCTAAAAAACAGTAGCCTGAAAAGCAACATTTTATTTTGGAGCTTCCATTTGCAAATTCCCACCCTTTTTAACATTTCCAGTCCACGGCAGCACTACAGCGAAGATCTGTTGTCACTACATCTTTGGGCCTTTACGCATAATCTACAACGTAATATCTATGTCCCAATGTGTAAATCACATTACAGTGTGGCTGAAGAGGCACAGCATGTAAACAAACAGCAGGAGCTGCACATACACTCTGACACACACACACACACACACACACACACACACACACACACACAGTTCTGCCCTGCTGTTTCAAACATTTTACTGTGTCACTGGTTACCTCTGTTAATACCTTCAAAGGCGGCTCAGAGGCAAAATTACTTTGCCCAAGCACCGTGCCTTGGGGACTTTTTCATGGACAGGTATACATTTCCCGCTTAGAACTGCCGTTGTAAAACAGGGCTACTGTTTAAGAGCGCCAAACAAGAACAGCATACTAGCACAAAGCTAGCAACATGTCAGCTATCAGTGTCTCTCAACTACAAGAGTCAAATGTTATTTGACTGCTATATTTAATCAAGTCAAGATCAAACAGGAACATAAACAAAAACTGGTTCCCTCCAACGCTTTTAGACTAACACAGGATACAAGGATGAACTATTAGCCAAACTGTTGCTAACGTTAGCTGTGCTTGTTTTAATTTTAGGATTCATTCAGTGTACCGGGCCAGTCTTTACAACTTGGCATAGCCTACTGCAGTAAAATTCTTTCAATATTGTGTACGTATATGTTGTGAAAGCACTTTAACCGACAAATTACTCTATCAACCAGTGCATACGTTTGTCTTTAGATAATCAGTACGGACAAAAATGATAGCAAAATCTCAAAAACAGAGAGAATCCCATTTAATCTTTATGTTCAAAATAATATGAAGATATTCAAAAGATAACCCTGAAGAAACATATTCAGCTTGTTAAGAGTCCTAAAATAGAACTTTATGGAAACGTGAAGAAAATCTATCAATGTTGACCAAAACAACTTGATCATTTTATCTCCCTGAAACACCCAAACTCACACACGCTGACACACACACACACACACACACACACACACACACACACACACACGCTAACACACAGATGTGGCTCTAAGCTGTAAAGCTGCTTAGCTGCAGTCAGTCAGGCAGCTGCTACAGAACTGCAGGAACACAAAAAACCCTTCAATAAAATACAGCCTAGCCATGTCACCTCTACTCAACACAAACAAACGCACACATGCACACACAAACACACACATGCACACACACACACACAAACATGAAACAGAAGGAGGTAGATTCTAGCCTATGATTCCAGCTGAGGCTGTACTCTCAAATGTGTGATCTCCCACAGCACTGAAACACCACATCCACACAGCAGGTAGCCATCACAATCGTCCTCATCATCATCATCATCATCATAATCACCATCATCATCTTTATTATCATCATCATCACTTTCGTCCTCGTCATTATCATCATCCGAAGAGTAACACCAGTCTCCTCTTTCCTCATAAAGTTCAGTAGGCGGGGAAAACCCCATACTGTACACAGTTTTTTTAATGAATCAGGCACAACACAATTACACAACTACACAAATCAAATGTATTTAATCTGGGGGGGGGAGAGTATTTCCCAAAGCATAGGCAGAACATTAAAAGAGTGAAGCAGTTAATTTAAAGTCATTGTGGGATCAAAATTATGCTAAATTTGAAGCCAAACAAAATGTTCCCCTTTGAAACTTTCAGGGCTCCTACTGTTTGAACTCCAGCAACTTTTAATACTTTAAATGTGTACAAAACACTTCGCTCTTATTCACTCAAGTTCAGGTTTTGAGATGTCTTGCCTACAGTTTGAAAATTCAAGTCTGAACTGTAAACGCATAATTTGTTGTATAGATGTGAAAAGTGATTCACCTTGATTGGTATATCACACCTTAATCATTAGCCAATTTGGATTAAAAGTTCAGGTGCTAGCAAACAATTTCTAAACAGTAACCGCCTTGTGGGTGTGTAAGAGTTGAAAAGGGCGTGTGTGTGAGAAAAGCTGGGAATCATTTGTAGGTTTACAGGAAAACCTGCATTACTATTTTAAGATATTATATAGAATGAATATGCATTGCAGTCTCATAAATTGTGACCAAAATGTGTTTTATTATAAGTCTCTTTACTCTTTTTTGGTAACCAACAGAAAAGACTGTAGCACATATTTAATCAAAAACCAACAACAGCATCAAATGACCGTTCAGATTCAAACCTTCCTTTGGTCCTTTATCAGACATATATTTACCAATTAAAGCTGCATGTTCATTTTACTATATTCAGTTTTGCTGTATGTGTCAGAATAAAAAAGGGCTGTGTTGAAAAAGACAACTGGTATTGGTTTTTGTGTTCAGATTTGTCGAAAGGACTTGGGTGCAACAGATGGATAAAAAAAAAGCATTTTGTTGCGGTAGTTTAAAGTGACAAAAAAAAGAAATGCAACAGATTTTTGAGCGTGACACAGTTAGGAGACAGTTGTTATTCACAGCTGCAGGAGGTTAACTGGGGTTATCAGGCTTAACACAGAGTGTCAGCATGTTGACAGTATTAGCAGCAAATGCTTTTAGATTACTTCTGTCCCAACCGGCAGCTTCAGATTGGGGGTGGATTATGTGGTTTACTACAGCTGACTGGCCCGTTGAGTGTGAGAGTGTGAGAGAGAGAGAGAGAGAGAGAGAGAGAGAGGGAGAGAGCGAGAGAGAAAAAAATGATTCTGTTGCGTCATGTTCTTACCTGTTCTTTCTCCCTCTTCCTTACATTTGTGTGAATACATTTTATGTTACATTTAAGCATACATGGCATTTCATGTCCATATACCACCTGAATCTGCAAGCAACTGTGTATCTGTGTGTGTGTGTGTGTGTGTGTGTGTGTGTGTGTGTGTGTGTGTGTGTGTGTGTGTGTGTGTGTGTGTGTGTGTGTGTGTGTGTGTGTGTGTGTGTGTGTGTGTGTACCTTGACAGGCTCTAACGTAGCAGAGAAAGCGTCCTGCAGAGCACAGCAGGCTAACCTCCACATCTCCTCTGTGAACACCGGCCCCACGGTGACTAAGACATACCTGCAGAGAGACAAGCTGTAGTTAGATCAGGCAGAGAATAAAGATCTGACCCCTGACCTGTCAGCTTCAGGGGCCAGTTTAAGATTCTATTACTTGTTTATGAAACTTTACATGGGTTGGGTCCAAATTTGAGATACAGTGGATATCAGAACTGCTCAATCCATTCAATATTTTCAGTCGCTGCTTAAGACACACCTCTTTGTGTTGGCTTTGAATATAAGTTGAGCTTGACATTTTGAAATGTTGTTATGCCCCTATTTATTGTGTCCTTTATTTTTGTATTGCTCCTATTATTCATATTTGTCCTTAATATTGTTGTTCAACATGCACAGCACTTTGGTCAACTGAGGCTGTTTTAAATGTGCAACATAATTAATCATCCACTTGACTTGACCTACTTTGTGAAGCCTTCAAACACACTTGAAAGGCACCAAAAATGCAAAAAGTTCAAGCAAATGTTAAAAAAAGATGCATTCATTCGGAACTGTTTACTTTAGCATAATAATCCATTGAGGTTGGTGTGTGTGTGTGTGATTGAGTCAAGATCAACTATAGTTTGTATTTGTTTATTAAGATTCCTCATAAGCTTATGTGTTGTAGTAGGCACTCTTCCTGGGGTCTCCATATTATCATTGGCAACATTTTATCAGTTAGATTACATTAAAACACATCCATGACATTCATACTTCTCACAGAACAATACAGAGGACATTTTCCATCTCAGACTATTTGTAAAAAGTGCAGACACCAGCAAGCAGAAAGTACAACAACCTAAAGAGGCAAACACATTTTTTTTAAAGGTCACATATTTTGCAAAACACACATGACCATGTGTCCCTGGCCAGTCTGCAAATCCCCAAATTATGAGAAAAGTCCATCATTTCTGTTTTTGACCTGCTCCACTTTTTAGAAAATGTTTGTTTCGAGATGTTCTCTGTGTGACATCACAAAGGGCAGTAACCCCTCCCCCATGTGGGTGACACTCCCACAGCTAGGTGTTTGTTCTGCCCTCTGAATCTGCATTCTCTACGTGTAAAATTGGTCACGGAGCAAAAAAGCCAGAGCCACCCAAGCCTTTCCAAAGAGGGGCGTGGTCAAACACAGCTCATTTGCATTTAAAGCTACAGACACAAAAACAGCCTGTTCTGAGCAGGGCTGAAATAGTGGGTTTAAAGGCATGATAAAATACAGGATCGGAGTGGATGTTTTGGCAATTTAGTCACAGACATATTTTGGTGCGCTCTAGTACGTATATATACTTTTTGAAAAGGAGTATAATGAGTGACCTTTAATACACTTATATTAACCACTTGTGTGAACAAGCATCATCTGTTACTTTAGTAACCTAAACTGGCAGTCGTTGCCCTTCCTCCTCTGTTAAAGCAGGTTCATTTATTGTCAATAATAAAGGCAAATATAAACTGATGGCTACAACATTTAAAAACATGAACTGATAAATTGGGATTGTGCTAAAGAAAGAAAGAAAAAACATTCTGCCCCATAACAAACTATAAACAGAGGGAGAGAGACAGTCTGTACATGAACCTCACTGTGTAGCTTTACTGACACAGGGTCACTTTTGTGTGGTCACCTGATGCAGGAGCAGCCCACTCTGGAGATGGTCTCTGCGGGTTCGGACACACACGCCACCAGCAGCTTAAACAGATCCTTCAGCATCAGGTTGATCAAAGACTCGTAACCAATATCTGCATAACGCACACACACACACATCACAAAAACACAGCATGTCCAATCAGCACGTGGGATAAAGGTGAAGTGGCAACACTTTCATTTGACTAAAGAGGAGGAACAAGTGGAACAACAAGTCATTAATCACGCTCTATTTCATGTGTGTGCACAAACACAGGATTGAACACGAGACAAACAATAACAGTTCGTATGCGACAGCACAGTTTGAGATTAGAACATCCTATCGAAGATGTATGTTACTCAGATTAAAAATGAATCTCCTTGTTTCAGATTCATCAGACATTTGTGTTCCTTCTCATCCCTTTGCTGTTTCTTTATTCATCTTATATTTTTTTTTTGGATGGATCATGGAGATTATATACAAGACTCTACTTTGCATGTGTTTGGAAAGCACTTTCCATGACTGCATATTCCAATCAGACTCGGCTTCATTTTTAGCATCTTTGAAATCCTCTCTGAAATGTATGACTTTTTCAAATATCAACTGTTTTCTGTCTCTGGTGGCTGCTTTAGTCTTCATGCCTTGCAATTGGTTTTATATTATTATTATTACGTGATAGAAGAGGGACAGTGGTTGCAGGAAGTGGAGGTTTAATAAAACATTTTAAAATAATTGTAGGTCAAAAAACTCTGAATGTAGGTCAATATATTTAAACGTACTAAACCGAAGGCTTAGAACTGCACAAATGACATATTCTGCCGTCAGTGCTTTTCTCACAAAGCCTGTCGACGCTGATATATATTTTTTAACTATCTTCAAAATAAACAAATAGCAAAGTCTGCCCCGTGCAACACACAACTCACTTGACCCTCTCAAAGACAAGGACTCACAAGCTCTGAATCTTCAGGTCACAGGGGGACACTAGAGGAAAAAGTGAGGCTGATAGTGAGGATTTCAGTTTCACAAACATCTCTGTAGGCTGTTGTTCATTTTTTTTTTTTAAGACTTATTTTTGGGCGTTTTGTGCCTTTATTGGAGAGATAGGACAGTGCATAGAGTCAGAAATCGGGTAGAGAGAGAGTGGGGAATGACATGCAGGAAAGAAGCCACAGGTTGGATTCGAACCTGGGCTGCCTGCTTGGAGGACTACACCCTCCATACATGGGGTGCGCACAATAACCACTGCGCCACCAGTGCCCCGGTTGTTGTTGATTTAACAGAAAGTGTTGCAAACCCTTTCAGCTCGAGCCCCCGATGTGTAAATGAACAACCTGGCATTTGGATGTGATGTGAAGACAGTGTTTCCCACAGAATGACGCCATATCTGGGCAGTGGATTATTTTTTTTTTTACTCTTATCTCAGAGAATGTTTTAATATTAAGTTTGTATTTATGTCAAATGTGTTTCTCTCTCAAAATGAATCTAGTTTTTGCAACAAACAACTTAAATCTACTCAATTTATCCAGACGCATGCGCACAGACATAAACACAACAACTACACCTCATGTTTTGAAAAATTCCACTCGATATTCCGTTATTTATAGGAGTTCAGCCAAGAATCAGCAGCAAGCCGATGTACATTAACATTAATAAAACAAAGCCATGAGAAGCTTCAGTTTTGATAGGAACAAGGCACCTGTTCTCAATGCTTTTACAAGAGAGATGTACCAACAGTGAACCTTATCTCTCTCTCTCGGTTTTGCTAGAGGTGGCATTTTTTTTAAACAGGAGTTATGTTATGTTACACGGAGTCGTGAGGTCCTCGCACGCGTCTGCACTCTCTCGCCCGCTCTGTCTCGCCCTTTCGTGCACGCAGCAATTTTATGAATAAATGAAAGATTTAATAAAAACAGGTCAGATATATACTTGGGATGCCCAGGTATCATCTATGTGTTGGAAGAACTATGTGACAAACCCTTTTTACACTCATAGGTGTGTCTCACCTGAGTGGATGAAACTGTTGATGTGCTCCACCACCAGCTCGCAGCACAGGCCAATGGCGTGTTTGAAGTTTGCAGCCGCCACATCCCAGTAGGAGTGGTCGCCATGGCTACGCTGCAGCCACAGTGCCATCACAGGAAGCAGCAGCTGAATGACCGAGAAGATGCCGAACCCGGGACCTGGAGGGAGGAGGTGCAGATTGTCTGTAAGTATGTTTGCTTATAAGAACAGAGTTTGGCAACTTCACAGATGAGACAGTGAATTCACAAATCAATCAATCGGTGAATTCTTCAATCTCAGCTTTTTGGGGACTTTTTCCCTTCAGCGTTTCAACCAAGCACTTGATCATTTGTAGATCCAGGTCATGTGACTGATTTGTCCGTCCAAGGACATTCAAATGTGTTGGTGTTAAATAAATTCAATAATTACCTTAACTTTACAGGTTTACTCAGCGTTTTGATTTAAATATTTCATTTTCTAAAAAACAACTTTTGACTGTATCCTGTTGTTAAACACTTCACAAACTCCTCCTCCACAGTTTTCTGAGCAGGTGTGTGTGTTTTCTTGGGTGTTACCTGGTACAGTTGTGACCTCTCTGAGCAGAGTGAAGAGCAGCTCCAGAGTTGGAGGTTGATGTTGGCGTGGACAGTTCGACACGGCTGCTGTAAGCTGCTCCAACAACAAAATCCACACCTGGATCAGACCTGCGGGGTAGAAAACATAGGACCAACACAGCGAGGGTCAGACAGAGTGGAAACACAAACCAGAAAGAACTAATAATGTGGACCACAGACACTTTACCTGTGTCATCGTCAAACTCCTGCAGGACACAGTCCATCCCGTCCTCAGTACTGATGGAGCGTTCCTGGCATCTCATTGGCAGGCTGGCAAGCCGCGCCCCCAAGAACACCGGCTTGGATGGCATCTTGTAAATCTTCGCAAGCAGCTGTCAATAACAAAATGTATTCTTTATGTCAATGGGCTAAATGACGCCTGCAAATATCTGCAAACTCCACAAAGCTTCACCTAACAACAACTGGGCACAAATGTCTCTACAGGGCTTTAAATACCTGTGTGATTTTTTTTCCATCATTTATCGGGGCTGTTGTAAATTCAAAATATGTTAAACATGAACTTTTGAGAAGAACATTAAAAAAGTTGAAAGGATCCCTAATCAAGTTGAAAATGAAAGAAATACAATTGCATATATCACAGACAAACAAGAGTCACCAAGATAAGATGGATTAGTTGATCCTGTAAAAGGGAAAAATAAGATTTCCAAATCCAGATCATTCTTATCCAAATCAAACAACCTGGCACCGGATTGAACACCACGGCTCGTACCTGGGAACATTTTCGAAGATAGTCGAGAGCGGGTAAGCAGAGGTCAGTGGAGCTGTAACCCGACACGTGGATACAGTCTCCAATCTCCTTATAGTCCACCTCTCCTGTGAACACACACACACACACACACACACACACACACACACACACAATCAGAAACTACGAAGAAAATCTGATTTTCTTCTTCTGTGTAAAGTGATAATAAAGCCAGGTGACACAGCAAGTCTTTAAAGTGTGGACATAAAACCGTTGACTTGTAACTGCTAAAAGCTAATACTGATTGAATGTTGATTAAAACCGATTTTTGGTAACACTTTACAATTAAGGTTACAATATTCACCATCAAGTGGTTACTAATTAGCATGTTAATTAGTAGCATACTGGCTGCTTATTAGTCATCATTTAGTGCTTATTAGTACCTTGTTCTACATGACAATAAACTACAGCTGATAGGACATTAACTCAGAGTTTTCCCTCAATACCCTCCTACCTACTGCTTATTGATAGAAAGTTAGGAAGTTGTTGAACATGAATTATGATCTTAATATGCTTTAGTTCTACCTGATAATGGCCATACTAAGCAAAGCACATTAAGATCAAAACTCTGAGTTAATGTCCTATTAGCTATAGACTATGGTCATGTAGAATAAAGTACTAAGTGCTCCATCATGACTAATAATCAGCCATTATGCTACTCATTAGCATGCTAATAAGCAACTTGTTAATGGTGAGTATTGTGACCTTCATTTAAAGTGTCACCAGATTTTTAATTTGTACTCATTCAGTGCATTATTTTGTCCCCGCAATATCAAATGCTAAATTGTAAAATCTTGCCTGAAATTAGATCTATTTATAGAAGAAAGAAAGAAAGAAGGAAGCTGACAGACACAGGAGGCCTTCTACCCTCCAGTTTTTACCCAAAGATGTGCCTTTACAATCTGATTCAAAAAGTGCATTTAAAAATAACATCTTAATGACTAAAACATTAATGACAACACAGAATGTAAAAGTCTGACAAACCTAAACCCTTGACGAACTTCATGAGACACATGATGTAGTCAGTGGCAGCGTTGGCAAAAACCTGGATGTTGTCAGTGTTGATGAAAGCCTCAAAGACGTCGAACACTGGAGCCTGGGACTTCCCTGGAGGGGGAGGTGTGACAGAGGAATTTGGAGGAAGAGGAAAGGGGAAAGGACAGAATTAAGGAGAGAAATAAAGGAAGGACTCATTTGTATTGCTTTAGAAAAAGGTCATGTGAGAGTACCCATAGAGTAATCCCCCAGTAGGTATTCTTTGGTGTCGGTCTTGCTGCTGTGGACGGTCCTCAGAGCGCTGAACAGAGGCCTCCATCCTGACAGGATCTGAGGGGAACACATCTCCACCAGCTCGCCTATCGACGTTATTACCTGAAGAGAAACAAGCAGCGAAACATTTCCTGAACTATTCTGTAAAATAACACTGCTTTAAATGTCAAGCCACAGATCTGGTGATAAACTGATTGATGCAAAAGAATCGTATGACAAACCTGATCCTGCACATCTTCATCACAGAGCTCCAGCTGCATGATGTGCTCAAAGGGCCTGAACAGCGCTTCGTTAAAGTGGAAGTGAGAGAGCTCCGCCCAGCTCGTCAGCACCTCTGTCAGAACATCGTGGATGAAGGAAACGGCCTTCTGGGAAACATGGCGCTCTTTGTGACATGCCGCCTGGAACACAGAGATATTTTGATTGTGAGTGCACTGAGCTGTAAGTACATTTCTATCGTCGTCGCTGTTTAAGAGTTCATGCAAGGCGAAGTGGCAGTTCCTGATGTCCATGTTTTGTGCTCATATCGTAGCTTTCATTTGCATTTGACTTTCTTTTCTTTTAAAAACCTCCCTCTTTATTTTTCAGAGTGATCACTGAAAGTTAATTGGACATAATATTACTGTCCACAGAGTGAAGTTACCATGACAACAAGCAGGACAGAAGCTAAATAATGACATACTGAGAATAAGTTCTAGGACTGTCCTTCAACATCGTGTTTTTTCTAAAAGTGATAGTATTATATTGAGTGCATTATTTGGATTTACATTGTACCGGATTATGAGAGATCCAGATCATTTTATATCCAAGAGTTTGAAAATGTCAGCCATTAGAAAAAGCTTCACTCTGTCTTTCAAAACAATGTTGAAGCTTCCTACCTCCACCAGATGAGGAGCCACCACGCTCCAGGCCCTCATCATGTGCAGCAGAGGTCGGTTCTTGTTCCTGACGATCCGCAGCATGGCCTCTCCCAGGCGGAAGAGATGGAGAGCACTGCGGCGGTCCAGCGTCGACTTGGCCTCCCCTGGGGACGAAAAAAAAAAAACTTTGATAGAATTTCTCCATGTCTTGATTTCATTTATATCCTGTTTCTTGTGTGAGAAGGTTACTAGTTAACTGATTTGTTTTTTTTTGTCTTATTCATGAGTAGACTGTCTTCCCTCCTTCATTCTAAGGTTATATATCATAGTTAACAGTTAATAACAAGTTTAAAATGATCCCAGTCAGGACCCTGTTCGAAGATATCCTACATGGTGATACCAAGAACAGAAAAAAAATTGGCCATTCAGGATTTTTTTCATAGCCCCATATGAATCATTTTAGATGCTCCATATGTTACTGCAGATAAAGCTCAGGAAGAACCACAAAGTCACTGAGCACTCCAGGAGCCTGATCATGTAGCATTCAAAAAATTAATTAGAATTAACCTCTTTGAAATAGTTTAGAAAATGGCAACAAGGGGGGATGTTGAAAATGTGTACCTGGCATTGCCAGCGAGTAGTCTCCGGTCTCAGTGACAGAGTCGAACAGCTGACACTGAGAAGCTCTCCTGAGCTGCTGCAGGAAGCCGACCAGACCCACCAGGTTCAGCTTGGTAGCTGCTTCTTCAAACAACCTGGAACACACAAACACACACACGTGCACACACACACGTGCACACACACACAAAAAAGTGTTTCATTAACCTCTTGTGACCTCAACTTTTGTGTTGTGTCCTCATTTACTTTCTCCTATACTAGTTATGAAGGACCAGAAGAACCAGATTGGTCTAAAACAAAGCATCACCTGTGAACAGAAAGTTCAACTGTCCCCCTTTGAGGACTTTTAAAAACATGATTTTGGATTCCCCCGGAGCATTCACACTTTGCATGTAAAACAATAGTGAAGTTCCAATGTCCTCATCCAGGGCTTTGTAGCATTTAGCTGTTCCTAAAACATGGCCTTGATAATATGGCTGCCATCTTGTTATTGCATCGATTTGTCACTCCCAGGTGGTTTCAAAGACAAACAATGAACACATTCAGATGAGGCACAATTAGAATGGGCATGAGAGCCGCCGCCCTTGCGAGTGCGGCCCGGCGCAGAGGAGTCTTTACTGTGTTCGGCTCTAATTTCAGCTTGTAAAATGTGTTCGGTCCATCTGTTCCAAAGGATCAGTGGGAACATTTTTTATTCACTTCTAAAAGCAGCCTAGATAACGAGTTATATAAGAGATGATCCATGATCCTTGGAATGAACACACACACTTATTATAAACCATGTGCCACAGTGTGTTAGTGTCTGCGTTTGTGAGTGTGTGTGTGCGTGTGCATTTTAATGCTGGGGGAAATTTAAAGCAGCGCAGAACCGTTTGAACTCACAATGAAGAACACACCTTTGTATTTCTGGTTGTGCGAGTGTTGACGTACACACCCAGCTTTGAGTTACCATCTCTTAACCTTAAATGTAACCCCTAAACATTCTCTCTCTCTCTCTCTCTCTCTCTCTCTCACTCTAGTGCATATCCAAAGCGCCTCCTGCCGGGCTGATCATGTTATACATTTATGAAGAGCCACTATTGTTAAGGCAACATGATAACAGCCAACAGATGTTTTATTAGGCAGCTTTTCTTCACCTTCTTGAGACCGTCCAGTCAGTCTTGATAGAAAACTAAATCTAAAACTAAATCCCTCGATAAATACTTTCCACTATTTTCAGTTCTATGTAGGCCCCACCTTCTTGAGCCAGGATGCATTTCATACCTACAGTAAAAGCAAATGAAAAGCACAAATGATAAAAGTAAACATGTGCCTATTTATTTGGTACAAAATATTCTAAAGCTCAGAAAAATATTTAGATGAATATTTCCTTAAGTGTGTTTTTTCTTGTCAGGCTTGCTTTAGATCTTGCGTCCTCTATACTCTGATTATAGTTTCCAACTCAAAACATTTGATTTTCTTAAACTGTTAAAGTAGGATTCCCCTTTATATTTCAGCTAAACTTCAATCTTATTCATAGCTGTAAATAAAACATCTGTAATCTGTATTTTTGTTTTATTCAAGGTGAGTCCAATAATTGCTTTCTCTTCTTATTAACTGCTTTAGTTCAATGTTAGAAAACTGTCAAAACTCCAGGTGAAAGATTTGCTTCTTATCCCACCAAAGATCCCAAACTCAGATTCAAAACATATTTTTTACATTATAAAAAATGAAATGTTTGCGCTTTAATAAATACCATCATTTCCATCAATTTTCTCATTTCTATTTTATTTTGTAGATTTATTGTTTGGTCTTTTCATGCCTTTGTCAAGAGATAGGACAGCGGATAGAGTCAGTCAGGGGGAGGGAGAGAGAGAGAGAGAGAGCGAGAGAGAGAGAGAGAGAGAGAGAGAGAGAGAGAGAGAGCAGGGAATGACATGTGGAAAAGGAGCCACAGGTCGGATTCAAACCCTGGTCGCCTGCTTTGAATACTAAAGCCTGTACCGGGGGCGCGCAAACTAACCACTAGCCCATCCGCGCCCCTAATTCAATAAATATTTTAGTCATGTATAATTTTTTATTCAGCCAATTATAATCTGTATTCAACAAAACGATATTAACACAGAAGAGTTCAGTTTCATAACGGTGTTGACAATAAGACTTTTTTTGTTGAGCTGTAATTTAATAAATGATCTTTGATGTTCCATTATCATGATTAATGCATGATATCATTGTGATATTTATACAGTGTCATATTTGGCGACCCACCTGTCGGCCTGTGTTGACAACGTGCACACAGCCTTGGCAGCACTGGTCCCGGTCATCAGGCTGCCGGTCTTCAGGTCCAGACCTCGGCCTCCTCTGCTGCTCTCCCTCAGCAGCTCCTTGATGGACAGAGGCTGGATGACCGGCTGGCTCAGACCCAGCTCGGAGGCCTCCGGGCTGGGCTCACAGCTCAGCTCCAGTCCCAGATCTATGCCCGCTGCATGCTGGCTCTGCTGAGTGATGGTGGTCAGAGAGGACGACTGTGTGGAGCCGTCACTGAAGTGTGTGTGCTCCAGTGAGCTGATGTACTCCGTTACCCTGGGGGGGGGGGGGGGGGGCAGAATGATGGGGGGATCAGGTGAGAGAATACAAAGGTGAAAAACCAGGGAAGGAAAAAAGAAAAATTTTAAAAATTAGACTATAACAAAAAAACATTTTTTTCCTGAAGTCTAAACTGTATCTAAAGAATTCTGCCATTTTTTTCAGATTGTTCTCCAACAAGCTGACAACATTACAGATGGACTGATGCAAACATAGACCTTTTTGTTGAGGCTATTCTTAGACGGTCTGTACATCACTGTTTTCATAGTAAGTGGACTCCAATGACAAAAACAGAATTGTCTCCTTCCAAAACAAATTGATCATCTAGTGATCAAAAATAACTTCCCTGGATACAAAAATATAAAACAAAGATACCTAAGATAAAGACATGTCAGTGCTAGCCGTTCCTTGTCAGTTTGTTTGCGTTACTGTGTGACTTGGGTATTTCTAAGGGTAAGATCTGATCAAACAGACTACAACACAAAACAACAACAAATAACTCTCTGAACTGCTGGCTGAAACAATCTACTGAAGTGATTCTGAACTCATTTGTACCTTTTAGATATTCAGACTTCAAGAATACATAGACCTGGGGCTTTTGTTTAAAAGTACCAGAATGACCCTTTATGGTCTCCATAGATGAACCATAAATCTTTTTTTTTTTTTTACTTTAATGGTCCTGTGACCTGAACCAAAACTGACATGACTTCCAAGTTTATGTATTTTTAAAGTCTAAAGGAAAATGTCGCTTCACTTAACAAATCAAAAGCAAGAGATTATAAACCCTTCAATCCTCCCTAGAATAAAACCTAAATAGTTAATATAACTTGGAAAGAGATGAAAATAAATGATACTATTGGCTAAATATTTTGTTGAGAAAAGTGATACAGGCTTGAGAAACCAAGGGCACCACATTGGCTGGCTTGATTGCATAGATTGAGAAATTATGTAACTATGGCCCGATTTATGGGAATAAGTGTGTGTGTGTGTGTGTGTGTGTGTGTGTGTGTGTGTGTGTGTGTGTGTGCTTAAGTGTACGTGTGTGTACCTGAAGACATGTGGCCAGCAGTCGTGGTTGTGGCTTCCCATTTCAAGTCCAACATTCAGGATGGCGTCCATACACAACACATGGGCGGTGTGCAGGCGAACTCCGTGAGGACGACCAATCTGCTCCAGACGCTGCTCAACACGCTGTTTTACTACACACACACACACACACACACACACACACACACACACACACACACACACACACACACACACACACACACACACACACACACACACACACACACACACACACACACACACACACACACACACACACACACACACACACACACACACACACACACAGGTGCAGGTGACATTTAAAGAAACCTACAGTGATACATACTTTATGCCTTATTAACCTTTACTGTATGTCACAACACAAATAGCAGTACCAGTTGACACACACATTGTGCATTGGCCCAGAACAGACAACAACCAAATGTCAAATAAAACTTTCATATTTAATAGCCATTATTTCACAAAGAGCAAACGTGCTGCGGAACTTGAATCACTGTAACAGAGATAATAGTTTGATAAAAACTACATATTTCCAAATGATGGCTTTGTTTGTTGATATATATTGGGTCATTTGCAGTAGATTCTTTTTTAATCTCAATTTGTTGACTTGATATTTCAGGACGAACCTTAAAATTGAACTTCCTACAGTTTAACACCAGTGTTCTCAGTAAAGAGAGGGTTTGATTTTGCTGTTGTTGTTTCACACAGCTGACACTAGATGTCCTCACAGTAATCTTTCAGAACCAGAAATCAGAGTCTCTTCAGGTGATAACAGTATCACTGTTAACTTTTTAACACATCCATCTATTATCTATACTGCTTTTCTCCTTTGGGGTTTTTACGGGGGAATAAGTGTCTTATTAAAAATAAAAATAAATCACATCTGTTTAGATAACAACGTAACAGAAGATTAACTCCAAGGTACCAACAAGTGGGTCCAAGTGGGTACTTTTCACTTGAATGTCAAATTCAAGAGAGAATTCAAATTCCATCGTCCAACTCACTGTCAAATGAATGTAATTATCCATTTCTTGACAACCCTTCTTTGTTTAATACTGATGTAGATAGTGTGTATTTATATCCCACTTTACAGCCACATGCATGTGCATATGTTCAAAGTCAAAGTCAAAGTCAACTTCAAAATATGCCAGACATACAGTGGAATCGAAATTGCGTTTGTCTCCGTCCCACAGTGCAATACAACCAAAATAAGGTAAAATAAGGTAAGGTAAAATAGATAAAATTAAATGAGGTAAAATAAGATAAATAATATTTACAGTAATAAATTCTAAATTGTGCAAAGGTACAAAACAAAATGGTAAATAAAATAAAATAACATTGAAAGAAAAAGTAAACTTGTGCAATATGTGCAATGTGCAGTAAACTGAGTGTACTTTTGAATAGTTGAAATGTTTATCAGCTACTAGTGAGTACCAGATGTGATTCTTTTGTCACTCAGGGCCGATGAAAGGTTACATTTGTACGAATATAATAAAAAGTCAATGAGCGTTTTTTTTTTTCTCAGTACCTTGTGTGATGGCGTCTCCGGTCTCGCCCACTTCCTTCTCCTCCTTCTCCTCCTGCACACAGGAGGCGGCGGCCATCTGGGCTAAAGCCGATGCACAGTTTGCAGCCACACCTGATGGCCAACACACACACACACACACACACACATTAAACAGACTTCTATATTGTGACTCTGGGTATTTTTCTCCTTTGGGTGTCTTTCCAGGTTTTAACTGGCAGTGAGAAAAAGAGCACCTTCCCTCCCTACATAGCGCCCTCGCTCCACATCTGAGGTTACACACCATGTGTTCATTCATATTCATAGGTGTTTCCGTGCGGATAATTTCAATCAGGTTTCCTCCCCCTGATGGCCATGCCGCTGTGTCGGTAATTCTTACTTACCGATACTTTCAGATTTTAAATGAGTAGATAATAAAATGTATTTCCCCTGATACACTCTCAAAAAATCTGCAGCTAAAAGACCTTTTTTTTAAAAACGTATTAACCCCCTACCTGATAACCTCAAGTTGAGCTGCTGAGAGCCCAAACAGTTTCAGGATGGTACGAAACATAAAGCTGTAATTTTAAAGTGTTTAAGTTGAATCCTGTGAAGCAGGTGGAAAATAAGAACAAACATTAGCTACCAGCAAAAGCTTTCCTGCATTAACATATAATGAAACAAATGTCTTCAACACATATGAATCTTATGAATTCTACAGAAATTACAGCAACATTTTTTTATATCTTGGGTTGACTTGGAAAATGTTATAACCCCTCACACAGGGTCCATTTCGCAGCTGAGCAGCTGTACACATCAAAGGAGAACTACAAGATCACGTGGGAAAAGACATGTTGCTTTGTCTTTCTGAGGATGATTTCTTGTTCCTTTGGTTGCCTGTCTTGACATAATGTTGATTAAGTGATGCAAAATATGATCAGGAGCAGTGCCGGACGAGGGCTGGAAAGCTTGCTGAGGTGGGATGCAGAGGCTTTGCAAGGCCGAGCGTTGTGTAAGGTTTGCACTGCTTGGCATAACAGGAGCTGGCAAGAGGAGAGCCATCAAGACCACTAATGAGGCTGCAGAGAGGGCTTCTAGGTGGCTTTGGATCAAGATGTCCGACCTGTGGGCCAATGCTGCTGGGACACAAGCTAGGGCCTGATCAACCCTGGCTGGGTCACCTGAGGGAGGGCGTCTGATGTCGTGAGACCCGAAACACCCGATGAACTCAGGATACATCACTGATGATGTGTCCCAGCGCATCCTCGGATGTTTCTTCAAGTCTATATATTGTGTTTTATTTTGAAATTAACCAGATGCTCTGTGCGTTTCCTTTCCTTTCCAATAAGAGGTTTATGTTATCCCTTTGAGCTGTTTTGTATTGTAACACAGTATTTATTCTATATCTACTGAACATGTTGCTCTAACACTGATGTATGTTTGAGTTACGAATGACAAGAAGGTTTAAATGGGTTTGACACTTGCACTAATAAAGTCGGTAGTTGTTCTACCCATTTGCATCCAGCTAAATTTTAATTTTAAATTGTTAAACTATTTAACCTTCAAATTACAGTTTGAGATTTGTATAGCAAAGACTTGCTAAAAGAAGAAATGACGCATCTTTCATTTCCACTCAGTTTTGTGATACATCACTTTGATTCAGTGGGTAGAGAGTATAATTGTATTGTATGAATTGTAATTGAAAAAATGTTGAAGAGCACTAAAATAAATTAATACTAATTCATGCATTCAGTCATTTTTTGAAGGCATTCTCGTGTTTGAGTGAGGAGGTTGTAAAAGTTTGATCCAAAGCTAAACTTCAGACGGGATACACGATGTGTTGAAGAGCTGCTTGAATCTGCGTCTCTTCTGAGTGATCGTTCATGGATTTTAAAGTGGCTTGATATACTCCAGGTGCCAAAATGTTAAAGTTGGAAGAACTATGGGGCTCAGTCTCATAACATGTCCTGCACTCCGACCCTCTACTCACTGGCTCATTTTGTTCATTCACCTACAGGAGAGGTTCTGTCATATGAAGGGTATGCTTCACATGTGAACAAAGACAATTTCTGAAGGCAAATCTGCCCTTGTGCTGACTTCTTATTCGTCTGCTTACATACTTCAAATGAAATCATTGATTCTTGTTTTCTTTATGTTCTAGTTGCTTCTGATTATTGCATTGCTTGTAAGCACTAACCAGAGGGCATTATGCTGAAAAACACTTCAAGCCTCTTAATCAATACAGATTTGAATCTGTACCAGCTCCAGCTGTAGCGTGAATATCTGACTCTGACTCTGATCATTCTGTATTGAAGGGAAGGAGGAACAGAGGATTCCCTGCAGGGATGAGTGATGTGTCTTAGTTTTCTTATTAACACAAACACATGGGGCTCCATGTTATACACACCCAAACTGCAGCTGAGCGCGGCGGCTTTCCGTAGACCGTCTAAACTCAGACAGATGGTGTCTCTCTCCCTCTGACTCTGCTCTTTGACCCCCTCCGCTCCCAGGATGAAGGCCAGGCCCTTCGAGCTGCCCGCCATGCGGCCCGTCAGGGGAGTGGACAACACATCGATCAGGTTCTTCCACACGCCAGTGAGGATGAAACGAGAGAAAACTGCTCCTGAAAGACACAAATGGATCATTAAAGTAGTGTCAAATAGGAGGAGAAATATGTATCTACATAGGGAAATGAACCAGTTACCCATGCTCCTGAACAACACACACACAGCCCAACAGTCCAAAGATTGTCAAAGCGGAAAAGTAGAATAAACTGGTATACAAGGCAGTGTTTCCCCTAGGTTTACAGCGTTGGTGGGGGGAGCGCTGACACGCCAACACAAACACTTGAAGGAATCTTGGTGTTCATGCGTTACTTTTAAAGGAAAGGTATCCATAAATGACTTCTTTCCCTGATTTCCGACTTTATCCACTATTCTATCTCTACAATAAAAAGGTACAAAAAGCCCAAAAATAAATCAAAAATATTTTTTTCACTTGACCTTCAAGGGCCGCCCCCCTAATATAATGGTAGGGGAAACACTGCAAGGGATAAAGTATTTTCAAACCTCGGCTCTTTTTTTTTTATTTATGTTGGAGTTTTTTTGGGACACCAACCAGCTTCAAAACCCCCGGACTCCAATTACAAGAACAGCTATGTCACCTGGCAGAAAAGGGGAGTTGCTTGTCTACCGCTGCCTTTATTTTTATTTTTTTTACAACAAATTTAAAACACAAACAAAATCAGTGTTGGGGAGGGAGACCCTCAGCTACAATGACAAAAAAAAATGCTTTTTAAGTCATAGAAGTCTGGTGGAAAACTTATTGTACACACACAAACACACAGAAAAGCACCTATGTGGGTGACTCAGCAGCAGTTACCATGGCGACTCTCCCCAGTTTGTTGTGCTCCTGGATGATGCAGAGGGAGAGCAGGTGGTCTCTGACTCATGTTTTCCATCTTTCCGTGTGTCTGCCCTTTCCTGCTCTTACCGGCTCTTTTAAGAAAAATAACTTTTATAAGTCCTTTTGTGTTTCTTTCCACTCCACTTTTTTTCTCGCTACTAGCCAAAAAATACAAGGTCGCAGCATTAGACCATGCAGCAGCGTTGTATGGGACGCTTCACCTTCAGCATTTTCCACTGATTTACGCTGCAGCCGTTCTGCAGCGGTTTCAGGGTGAGTGAACCCTATTTAGAAGGGTTTAGCTCGGCTGATTTAGAGGCTCAGAGGGAAAAAAAAAGAATATGCAATAAAACACAACGATACTCTCTGAGTCAATCTTGTTCACAGCTGAAGTTACACTAATGAATAATTCACTGAGAACCAATCAATCGGTCCATTCATCCATCATACCACTAGCGATACTTTGGGGAAAGTTCGATGCTAATGAGCAGCTTACCTGCCATCCCAGTGTCACTGCCAGCTTTGTCACAGCTGAGTGGTGAGCGGCTGGACGCCCTCCTTATCAGCTGACCTCCGATCGCGCTGCTGCCCAGACCGTCGATATCTGAAGGACGAGGTGGGCACAAGTTAGGATAGAGGAGAAGAATGAGTAAATAAAAGCCAGGGGTAAAGCTGTTGAATATGATCATAATACGGGATGTCTGTGTTGGTCTTAGAATGTTTTTAGCTGGGTAAACGTTTGACAGATAGTATGAGTTTTTGTGATATTTTGGGAGAAAAAAAAAAAAGGATTTTCAGGTTCTCACATTATTTAAGTCATTACTTGATTGTCTTTTGGGGCAGAAATGATTCAGACTGAAGAGCAAACTATTGTCTAAAGACTCTGACTCACTGAATTGGAGTGAGGTTCCTACAGTCAGGGAAACATTTCAGCTGAATGATAATCCCAGAAACATTCAGACTTCTAGTATGTAAGTTCAGTGGAGATGATTTAGATGAATGAGTGTCTGTGTGCTTGAGTGTACCTGTTAGCATGGTGATCAGTGGCAGTGTGTGCTCCTCCGGTGAGCCCCAGTACCCCGCCTCGGCCAGCAGGTTGCGCTCCAACACTTGGTGGTAGAGCTCCTCGATCCAGGCCTGAGACAGAACCACGAGGACTCCGCTGCTTTGGATCAGACGCACAAACTCCTTCTGCAAAAGAAAAACAAACGTTGAATTCTTATGCATCACTCTACTGCATTATGTCTGGAAAAAGTATTGAAAAATTGTATTGTATTTCTCAACTATTTTAATCAGCAGAAATGGAAAAGGTATGCCAATCATACTCAAATAGAAACCACGTCTGCCCCCCCCCTACAAACTCATCTTGTGGGGGAGGTCAGCACTCTGCTCACCAGGCTGAGGACGGGTGTGAGCGTTCGTCGTCTGTAGTAGTCGCAGCAGCAAAGTTTGAGATTGAGCAGCAGAGCGTAGTACGACACCAAGTAGAGTCCATCTGCGTTCATCAGAGACTGACAGCTCAGAGTGTCACCTGCCTCGAACCCCGGAGAGTGGATGCCGCCTGGAGAGAGATAATGAGAGATTTTGAAATGAAGGAACTGCCCTTTAAAAAGTAACTTTGGGTACCTTTAAACCTGGGCACTTAATTCAAATATTTAAGGGTTTACATGACACATGAGTACAGAAAGTTTGTGAACTGCTCTGCTATAGATCACTGCTGCTGGCAGCCCAGAGGACTGGCCATTTATAAGTGGGGCAAATGTTTCAAACAGTACCGGTAACTCTACTTAAAGTGCTTATTTTTGTCAATGTAAGGAAGATATATGTATTCTTAGTGTCCAACAACCTTATAAAAGGTTTCTTATAGTGATATAATAATCAGTAGCAGCTGGTTTAATGCTCTTACAAAGCCAACACACTCCACTGACCAAAAAAGTGACTCAACCTTGGGACACAGGAGTTGGTTGTCTAACTGCTGCCTCAATCTGCACGTCTGTTTGTGTTCAGACAAATTATGTTGGATCCAAAGTAACCATTTCAAATATCAAAGTCACACTTTTCTACAAATAAACTAACCAACAGAGGCAAGAGAAAGTGACTGTTTGGAGAATAATTGAGTTACACCAGAGTTAGTAACCACTGTCAAATGTATCTGCTACTGTGAATGTGAGTGAGGGAAAATGTCAACAAAGGCACTTCCAATCAGCATGTAGAATTGCTTTGACTTACACCAACCAGGAGACAAGAGTAACAAATGTAAAAAACAAACAAACATTCAACAAAAAGTCAATGTTATTCGTGCTGGTCCTGTTTGCTTTTGTAGCTCATATAGAGGTATCCGTTTTATTTCAGTATGTTGTATAATAAGTTAGGAACGCCTCACAGAAAGAGTATATCGATGTGGGATCTTCATCAGGAAGGTAACGCTTATGTGATCTGAGAATGAGAAAATAATTGGGACACACAGAGAGGGTAATGGAGTGAGAGAAACAAAGAGAGACTAGAGAGGGAAAGAGTGGGAGGTAAAGTATAGACAATGAAGTAGTGATCGACGAAGGAAAGAAGTAAAAAAAAAAAAAAAGACAGCGTTAGGAAGAAAGAGGGCTCAGAGGGGGAAAGAGACTTTAAGACAGACAGGTAGAGGACACAGAGGTAAAGAGTGAGAAGGTGAGAGGAGCCGGAGAGAGATCATCTGTTCGCTGATGAAGTCAAGTGTTAGAATTAGAAAGTCACTCTGGAGATTCACAGCCTCCAACAAAAATTCATTAAGTCACTTAACCGCAGAGTTTAATTTGATTCGTAATTTTCTTCTGAAAAAAAACCAAAAAAAAAAAACCTGGCTCACTGTTTTCACTGATGGATTATGGGTCGTGCCTCGGAGGCCAAACGTTTTATTAAACTGTTCCTGCTCAGCAGTGATGGAGTGAACATAGAGTACGGTACAAACACAGTCAGACTATGTTTCTTAAAATCTTGGAGCACTTACAATCAACCAGGGAAATACATCATATTAATGTTAAACATATGAATACAAGGTGAAGGGTAATATTAATCTCCGCCGTCTATAAAACCCACCATGTTCCTTACAAGGAAACACAAGATGCTAATGAGATGCTACTAAAGCTTATGGTGTGGGCTACACTTACATTTCTATTTTTAAAAGGCAACATTGAATCTGTGTCTTCTGGCATGCCATAAATACTACAATACCCATGAGCCCCAAGGCGATGACGTTCGGAGAAATCAGTCAGAAGTGTTGCATTTGTTCTCTTCTTCACAACTGGTCCAACAATTCATTTTCTTTTGTTTAAGGTGAGCAGATGATTATTGATGACGTAATAGACGTATAGTTATACATACATAATACTACTTAGTACATGTATCTTTAAAAGCATTCATTGATCACCCTTGTCACCACATCCCTGATCTAGAAGCGAACAAGTTTAAACAGCGTATGTAATCATCCAGACTGAATGGAAATAAAAGAAATTACACTGGAAAAATAAACTTCTAAAAAGTGATCCTTCAAGTCGAGCACCGTGGTTGGCCATGGTGAAAGAAATATATTCAATGGAAAAACAGACTCATTACTTGAAGACTAAAGCACGGAGCCATGATCAACGCTGGGAAAAGTGGACTGATTACTGGAATGAAAAGACGGGTGGAGTTATCTGCTGGGCAGGAAAGAGTGCATAAAATGAAATCTTGAGACGGAGGCCCTCACTACTTTGTTGTGCTAGATGTTTTGTGAATGTAAACAAAGAAATAAAAAAGATTTTCTTAAAGCATAGAGAGAGCCATACAAGCCGCAGTGACTCAGTGTGTAGATAACACTTTGGTTCATAACTTAGTTTGAACCACTTGTTTTACTTTCACCTTGTAAGTGATCACCTGCAGGCAAGTTTATTTTTGGACTTTTTGTGACTTTATTGCAGAGATAAGAAAGTAGAGTAGGAAATCAGGGTGAGAGACATCGGGGAACAACATGTGGTAAAGAGTCACAGGTTGGATTTGAACCTGGGCCGTCCACACAGCCTCCGCACTAACCACTACGCCATCGACACACCGGAAATGAAAGTTTTTATTCCATTTTATTGTCTTGTTCACTAAGCCTGCAGAGGATTTCTGAATTTAGCTATGTGTCGACACAGTATGATGTGTTTACTTTAATAGTACAGTAGGAATATATTTATGTACTGGTTGTTTTTTCTCCACTCTTGCTCAGAAAGTGAATGTCTCACACACACACACACACACACACACACACACACACACACACACAAACACACACACACATTTATCAACCTCCCCTCCCTCCCTTCATCTCTTACCAGCCTGTAGGCCTGAGCAGAAGGTGGAGGAGAAGTTCTGCAGCGACTGGTCCACATCAGTGGCGGTGGCTAATCCCAGCAGCCGGGGCAGCAGCACCGTGAGTGACTGGAAGAACAGCCTCGCACTCTGCTGGTCGGCCTCCTGGTTGCGCAGCAGTTTGAGCGACAGGGCGGCGGTGCGCAGGGAGCGGTGACCCAGACAGTCGCGAGGGGTCTGCTGCTCCTCGTCAGCCAGCGAAACGTTATCGGAGCCGATGTCAGACACGTCGGAGCGCCCCGAGTCTTTCTCAGCAGCCATGGAGTACTGGTCACACGAGTCGAATTCTGTCCGAGACAAGTCCTGCTCCTCCATGCTGATGGAACAACATGAAAACAAGATTTTTATTATATATACATTTGTAAACGTTTTTGATGACCATTTCAAAAACATTCGGAAAGAAATCAGACTTGGTTTTCTACATTCAAGGCAGCAATTAGTCTGAGTTAGTGTTGGATATGAAATGACTTAAGAAATGTAAAGCTCTGCTCATTTTATGTTCAGAAGCCCTGACAGGTAAGTGAGATTGATGTTCTCATATAACATTTGTACAAGTGTATCTTTTTTCCTGTGTTTATTACTTATGAACAGAGGGGAATTGTTAGCATTGTATTTAAGAAGTATCATTTTTTCTTTGTTATTAAAGTTCCTAATTATGTATAAGTTTATTTTATCTGAGATTTTATGTATTAAAAAGGTGAGAAAAATGCAAGATATAAAATAACAGTAAATCACAGAGTAGAAATATATGATTAATGTGCATCCTGCGGTGAGAATAAGTAGTATAACTACAACTACAAACAAACCTGAGAAAAAAAAGTGTTTTTTCCCATCTCCAAACATTTTCTCTCCTGT